CAGAGGTTGTGTCAGCGCGAGTTAAAAAGCAACTCAGCGGGGGGGAGGGAAGAAAGATACAGACAAAGAGGGAAGAAGAAGGAAGGGGGGTCCGGGTCGAGTCCTCAAAGTGTCGGACTGTTCTACTTATAAGTCTTTAAATAGGGTGATTCACTAGAATGCCGTGGCTCTCATCTGTTCCTGCTCCTGTTGAGGCACCCAGGGAAGAACCGGGCGCTGAGCATCATTGGAAAGTGGGCTGGGAAGTGAGCAGCAGGGCAGGTCGCGTCTATACGTAGTTTTTCCAACCCAGATAAGATTTAACCACGCCCACTTCTGACTGACGAAAACATCGATACAGCGTCAGAGTGTCACTCTGCGTTTTCATCCCACAAAATAGTAATCTGACTGTCGCTGCATAGCGCGTTCTTAAGAAGATTGGTGAAAAAGAGACTTTAAATAAATGTATTACGTCAACAGATTTGACGTAACTGTATTAGGTTAGTTGAAAGAAATAATATCAAGTTTAAATAAAAAAGATTAGGTTCAACTTAATGTTATTGCTTTCAAGTAACCGTTATGTGAGATTTTCCTGTGTAGCTGAGTACATTTAAATATATATTTAAATATAAATTCAACATGGATTGAAGAATAATGAGCTAGCAAACAATATGTAGCCTATAAGCTCATTTTACTATTTGTCACGTTTGTACTCACTAAAATACAGTATTTGAGTATATGTACTTACATTCCAACACTGTCAGAGTATATAAAATATTGTTGTAATGTTTTTCAGCATGGCTTGCACTGACTGCAATGGGAGTTGCTACAGAGGCTAACAAAGGTGCGTCTCCAGGGCTTCAGCCGCTCACGCCCCAGTGAAGAAGTCTCCAAGCGGCAGGAAATGAGGAGGAGGGACCACGGGAGGGGTATTTAGCTAATTATTTGTATTTGATAAATAGCCCATATTGTTTTTTTTTCCAAAGCTAAAGTAGACGTCGGCCTCCTCTTTTGACATGCCGATGCGGAAGTGGGCGTGATTAAAGCACAGCTGGATAGACACAGGCAGGTCATGTCATCATCACTGGACTCAGACTTACCAAATAGGCCCACAGGGATCAATAAAGTTTCCTCGTTAGTGAATCATTGTCCTGCAGAGCCACCGTATGGGAATATAGAAATAAGGACACATCTTAACAAGCAAACATCATACACAAGTCAGTCCAGTAAGATAATGGATGTTTGAAGCACTGGAGACGGAGAAGCTTTGAATGCCAAGACACAATCATGTGGTTAGTGGACTCATTTACCTTCCGTCAGAATGCTTCATGATTTCCCGGTGCAGCTGATTGCCTCTAATTTCAGCCGAGCATCGGGGAAAGGGGATTCATTGTGTGTCTTCGGATTGCTGCGTGCCAGCTAAATGATCTCCAGTGGACGGAGGCTTAAATGGAGGCTAAATGGCGACGCCAGAACGCTCCTCTATCTGAAGCTCATTAACCGCCTCTCAATCCCCAAGAGACCTGGCTCAGCTTCACGTCGAGCACTCTCCTGCCAGGAGGAGGGCGATTACAACATTTTGCTCGACAAAAGCTCCCTTCCCCCTCATTTCCTGTCTTCTCCCTCACCCTCCCTTTTCCCTCTCTCTCTCTCTCTCTCTCTCTCTCTGGTCACCCCTTCCCTTCTCGTCTGTTTCTTTCCTCCCACCTGCACCTCGTAAGCACCCCGGGCGATTTGTACTCCGACTGATTTGTCTTTGTGTCCTGCCTGTGATTACAACACTTAGAGACAGGCACGCCATGAATGGTAGAGTGTTTACTCTCTAACAGACAATATGAAGAATTATGAATCATACACCAGCATACACAATAACAACAGAACAAAACTGTATGGAAATCAAAAGCAGTTTGAAAGTGAATCACGGGAGAGCGGCAGAGCGGGAAGCAGATGGGAAAAACAGTGATGTACGCAGAGGGTACGATCCAGCCAGGGAAGAGCAGGCCTACGCGTTCCTCTGCCAGGGCTCCATGTACTCCAGACCCAGATGGGCAAAGATGTCCTTTTCAGTCGAAGCTGCCAGGAACTCTTTCTACAGATAGGACAAACAAACAGAAGGTCAGTGCAGGGATGTGTCTCGGTGACACCAACGCCAATCCACAAATTCTCAATTTCAGCCTTTTAAGTCATTTCATATCTTGTACACTCAGCCTATCAACATTTCAGTTTTTTCAGTGTACACTTCTATCCACGCTGCAAGCTGGCAGTATAAACATAGGATTTGATTAACCCAGTGTAATCATGCAGTGACCGCCCAACTCCCTTCCAACCCATAAACACTCTAACCTTGCTCTCAGTGATTGGTGCAAATCCACACATTCTCATTCTCAGTTCCTATATTTACATCATTTTCTTCAACAATGTTGTTCATTTTCCAACCCCTCAATTTCCCCCATAACAAAGACAACAGCAATACTACAACACAACACAGTGTTGAAATATCATACAAATAATACAAAATAAGAATATAAATGAGGTAATAACAGATATTACCATTATCGACAAACAATAAACGATATCATATTTTCCAAATATATATCAACCAGTTAATCATAAACTAAATGCACATATAGTCAGGTAAAAAGGTCAAGGTGCATGTTAGTCACGGTTGTCCGCATATCTGTATTCTAGCTCACACATTATCAATTTCAAGATTCATTATTCCTGAAAATGTTCATGTCTTGTACACTCAGCCATCTCTGTGCCTGTGCTATCCACGCTGCAAGCTTGAAGTATAAATGTAGGATTTTATTCACCCAGTTTGTGCCAACATGCTGTGACCGTGCAGATTTACATTTGACCGCCCAACTCCCTTCGAACCCATAAACACTCTAACCTTGCTCGAAGTGATTGCTCTCTTCAGTAGATGAGTATTTTCCCTGACGAATCGCGACAGGGCTATTAACTACTGGCCGTCTACCAACACCATGTGACGGGTTATGTCTCTAAAGAAGCAGTGACGAGGCCTGACTCACCTTGAGCGCAAGACAGCCCGGAGAGAGAGAGGGCTGTGATTCTGACACATCCTGCCTTCAAGTGCTAAACTGGACCTGACACCTTGCGAAGAGATGGCAGAAAAACCAAGAGCATGTCTGCTTCCACTGCCAGCTGAAGGCAGAGATAACTGAGAGTAACTCGTCGGCAGCCAGGAGAGAGGAGAGCGCTACAAGGCACGTCTCCCAAAATACTGGCTTGTTCTTTCAAATGCAAATGACAGGTAAGCGGTGCAGTGGGGGGGTTAGGGTGCACGCTACAGCTCTGTTCGTATCACGGATCACCTAGTTTGGAGGTAAAAGGGAAAGTGAGTCCCTTAAAAATAACCCATGGGAGAAAAATGTGCACACAACTATGGTAGGGTGAGAAGTCAACCTTGTACCAGAGATTCTTGGCTAATAAAAAAAAAAGATTATTTCTTCTGTACTTGGCCAATGCAATGGCACTTAAGTAGCATTCACATGAGTGTTTTTAAATGATCCTGGTTCATATTAGTATTGTTTGTCTCTACTGTGACATGTCTCCATGCTTTAATGTTCAAAAAGCTCTTTATTTCTCTCATACTGCCTGTGCTGCAGCATCTATTTTCACCCTCTGTCTGAAACCAGAGCCAAGTCTGCTCTGATTGGTCAGCTGGCTGGATTTGTTTTGATTGGTCAACCGCTTAGAGATGACCCGCCCCTTAGCCTACCCCTTAGCCGATCATGTACAATGTGTTTTAGCGCTAGCCAATAGAATGTGTCAGCAGAATTTTTGTTTATCCTCCCAAAGTAGAAGAACACTTGTCTGAATCGTAAAGAAAGACAGGGCGATTGGGATATAAATGAGTTCTGAACATACTAATAACCCCCCTTTAATAATTCATACTTCATCTCCTCCTCTCGCTCACCTTCTTTAAACTTGCAAACATTTCATTATAGTCTCTGACTTATTCTCCGCTGTCCCTCTCTCTGTGCTTTGAAAGGTCAAAGTCATTTTTATTTATTTTTGATTGTGAGTCTGTGTGACTGCTGCTTGTGTTCAGACAGCCTCTAACTTCATTATTGTCACTGTAATTGCATCAAAGAGATCGTTCTTAGAGTCTATAGCTCCTCTGTAATTACATCACACTGTGTGTTCACAGATATAAGCTGCGTTCAGTACATTCATTATCACATGTGAGCATGTTTCCTGTGAAGGCTGGAGGTGTTTGTAGGGTGCTGCATAATATAATACGCTATAATAGTATCACAGGAGCCATTCTGCACGATGATTACTTAGACTTTTGTTACTTCAAGTACATTTTTATGATGATAATTCTGTATTTTTTCATTAGTGACCATTCAAATTTGGGATTTTTACTTGTATTTGAGTATTTTTTTACTTGGAGTCATTACTAGAAAAGGATCTGAGTATTTCTACCTCAGCTTTATTTACAATATATTTATTAAAAATAAAATGTTGCATTATTCTGCAGGTTGTGCTAGTGAGTAGTGGAGATGCTACATGCTGTACCATGAGGCTGCACAGCAGGGCTATGGGCGTAAAGCTAACGTCAGCATGCTAAAATGCTTACAGTGATATTACGTACATGCTGGTATTAATTGGGTGCAGGGGTGAACAAATGTATGAGCAACCAATTTTACATTTTGAAAGAATGTTCTATTTCACATTTCTCACAGAGCTGAACACAACTGATTATCTGACCGACTAATACCTGTTTTCCTCAACTTGCTGTTGAGGTTTTGTATTGGTGTCAATTTGAGTTCTTATCTTATCAATTTAACAGCGTTGTTAATCCAACAAAAATGTTCTTGACCAGGTACCATCCCCTCCAAATAATAAAACACATAGGGCGCAAAAAAAAGAAATTGTCTTATCAGAGGAGCTGGCATTGAGAACATTTTCCTGGAGTCCATCTCTAACTTAAATCTAATTATTTATCCAGAATGATGGTTTATGACATTATTCAACGGCTGGTGCACACCAAAGTGTTTAGTACCACCGAGCGTGATGCTGGCCCATTTTTCACAAGATAATAATGATGATCATTTTGATTTGTAATGAAATACCACTTGCTCAGCTATGGTGCTTAAATTGTTAGCAAAAGTGACTTTTTGTGTTTGCGCAGGTGAAACTTATAGCATTAATGAATATCTGCTCCTATTCCTAAATATGTGTTAGATCAGGGGTGTCCAGACTTATTTCACTGGGCCACTTACTAGAGGTGAGGTATATTGCCTTATAATTAAAGTTATAAGTTAGCTAAATCAATCAAATGTAGGCAGATTATTCTTGATAATTGAACAGCCTACATCACAGCTTTCCATTAAAGGTCCCCTATTATACTGTTTTTCATCAATATATTATAGGTCTCGGATATAAACAAAACATGTGTCTGAAATGTTTGGCTCGAAATACCAAACTGATTTGTAACCAATTGTAACATTCCATAATCCCCCCTGTTTCAGAAGTGTTGATTCTCTGTCTGTTCCTTTAGATGAAAATAAGGAGCCCCTCCCCACACCCCTCTGAGAGATATTTGGTTAAAAAGAACACAATGTTGCTCTAGGAGGAGATCCAGGTGATAAGGTGTGTGTGTGGGGGGGGTTACCTTGGTTGGTGATTGGCTGATTGTTACACAAGCCAAAAAATCGTTATGACATCATAAAGTGGCCAAAATCTGATCAGCTCATTTTCAGACAGGTTTTTATATAAATGGATCAGGACAAAAAGAGAGAGAATCTTTGTTCCTAAAACTTTCAGAATCTCTTTCCACAGAGGGGACACATGTTGATGTATAAAATACATGAAAAAGTGGATTTTGTACAATAGGTGACCTTTTAATATTGTTTCATTTATTTGTTACAAAACAGTTTGACAGCTCATTCCTTGAAACAGAAGCTAGTGCTCTCCCTTCACAGCCCTGTATAGAGTGAGGGGTGGATGGAAAGGGGATATTTCAAAGATGTTATACAAATAAGTAATTGGGCTTTTGTATCAACTGAGATTTGTTAGCAAATGTTTTTAACTTTAATGACCGCATTTATTTGAAAATCGGGCTTATTAACACTGACAACAATGAATATCGTGTAATATATTTGTACATATATATTTAAGAAGTACAAAGAAGAAAAGGATATGCTTCAGGTCTGGGCCATATTCTACTATAGTTTTAGAATTTCCTGCGGGCCAATTCAAAATGGACCACGTGGGCAGCAGTTGGCCCCCGGGCCTTAATTTGGACACCGCTTTATTAGATATTGTGGATTGTGGTGTAAAATGGTAGTAAGTGATGATGGTAACACTGAGGCATCTTCATTCTGCAGCAGAGCTCTGCAAAAATAGAAATGTTTATGCATAACATTTATTAGAAAATTAAGTGTTTATTAAATGTGTTTGTGTATTCACGTATAGACACAACAGACAGTGATAAATGTTTCAATTCAAGCTCTGGTGCTCTTTTCTCAAATATTTCCCATGACTCCTCTGATCAATACCAATAACCTTCAGATTAGTTTGCAATTGAGTAGGCAGGTTTGAAATGACCAAAGCAAGAGGAGGAATGCAGCTACCGTTTGTTATTTCTCTCATTAGAGAAACAGGTTGTGTGTGTGTGTGTGTGTGTGTGTGTGTGTGTGTGTGTGTGTGTGTGTGTGTGTGTGTGTGTGTGTGTGTGTTCATGGCCTTGTTTTTACGAAGGCAACACAGTGTGATCTTTAACTGAAACGCTCTTTGTGATTTGCATGGGATTATGCCTGAAGAGGTCCCTGTAATTAGCAGGGAGAGTGCAGCTAGAAATCATTAGTGCTGTAAAAGTGTCTTATGTGCGAAACTAAAACAGAGTTATAACAGACCTGAGTGGTGAGACTCTCACAGCACGGTATAATAGGATGTGAAAGATTAGATTTCCCTCCTGTAGACTCCAATAACATTTCCATTTGGGATGTGAGGAGGTGACGTCCCTTTTACTTTCTCTCTTAGTGTCCAGCAGGGGTGGAAGAAGTATTAGATCCTTTACTTTAGCTACATTATTAATACCACACTGTGAAAAGGCTCTACACCAAGTCAAAATCCTGCATTCAAACCCTTACTCAATAAAAAACTACAATAAAAATAAATCCTTAATTAAACACTGTTCAGTATGTTTAGTGGCAATGTTTTTCTTTACAAATGATGTGTTTGGATTAATATGACTACTGTATTAATATGTATGTTGCATTTTACTGCTGTAAGTGTTATGATAATTCTTTAAATACACTTAGTTAAATCTACATATGTCAAATATAAATAAATATAGTGGAGTAAAACTCCTTGTAGCGCAGTCGAATTATAAGGGCGCACAATATATAAAGTAAAGTACAAATATGGTTTAACTCAATTAAATACTTATGTTCAGTCACTAAATGTACTTAGTTAACACCACAGCTGTGGAGATGCTATATTTGAAACAAAATACACTTTTCAGATTCAATGTCAATTTATGGTTATTATTTAGTTTTATGACATGTATTTTCTAACAGTGATATCCATAATTAGTAGGAGTTCTAGCAACACTGAACCAACAACAAAAACACATTGAGATCTGAGAGCACAGCGACTATTCAACACTACATTTACGAAAATCAAGCAGTGACACGATCACAGAAATGGTAGACAATCCAACAGTTTAACAGATTATCAAATTCAGTCATTCCCAACAGGAGCATGATGAACAGAATGATCCACATGTTTGATTATAGGTGGAAAATAAATACACAAAAAGGATTAAACTATTAGCCATGATGAGCTGAGTGCACAGGACAAGCCTCAGTTGTGACACCTTAACACCACATGCTAAGAATCAGAGTGCATGACAGCTTATAGTAAAGTCAAAGGAGAAAGAGTGTAAAAGAGATGGATTAATGGCTGAGGACGAATCATGGTGAGAAGAAGGGTCTGCAACGAGCCTTAATGATATTAAATGACAATACCCCCCCCCCCAGCCCACACCTCTTCTGTCGTACCTCCAGACTACAGAGCAGCTCCTGGCCTCAGGCTGTGAGGCTCCTCAACTCATCCTGCACGCTCCAACACAAAAAATACTTTTACTGCCTTTTGTTTGTTTTTCTTATGCGGCAAAATGGGACAATAACTGCATTCTGTTGCAGCACCCTGTGTTGTACAATGAAAATAAATTACCATTGTAAAAGTCATGCTGTTAAATACGAAAAAAGTAAGAAGCAGATTGTAATAAACTTAAATTGTTGCAAATACAACATGATGTATTCCTCTGTCTTTATCTTGTTACTGTTTACTAGTCGTGTTTGGTGTTTACTGGGTCAATGTGGATGGTTTTGATCCTATCTTTGCTGCGCTCTGGGTGCTAACGTGTGTGTGTGTGTGTGTGTGTGTGTGTGTGTGTGTGTGTGTGTGTGTGTGTGTGTGTGTGTGTGTGTGTGTGTGTGTGTGTGTGTGTGTGTGTGTGTGTGTGGTTTCAGGCTGCGTCCGATGCTCTCAGCAGTCTGGGCCATGTGTACACAGCCATCGGTGACTACCCCAACGCGCTTGCGAGCCATAAGCAGTGTGTTCTGTTGGCGAGACAAACGCAGTGCCAGCTCTCCGAGGCGCGCCAGCTGGGCAACATGGGCGCCGTGTACACCGCGCTGGGAGACTTCACCAACGCCGTTCAGTGCCACGAGCAGCACTTGGACATCGCAAAGGTACAGAAGTACACTTTATGATCTGTAATGTTTCTGATGGGGCGGAAGAACTTGGAACACTGAACAGCCTTTTTTTTAGATTAGTAGTCGTAGAGTAGTTGCTTTTGGATTTGAATCTTTATGGATAAATCCTTTGACATAATCAACTATAACTGTGTACTAACACGTTTTGGGTGTTTATCAAAGCCTGGTAAATCTTCTTACTCGGTGCCATAGAGCTCCATAGTTGTCCAAAACTGTTAGAAACACATCAATGATCAGCACTGTTGCATTGGGTGACATGCTCCTTCATTAATGAATCAACGTTTATTTTGACTCAATCCCCAATTACACAGTCCTGCTGCCCCAAATTCACTAAAGCACCAAATGTGGAATACTCTGCAGCTGCAAATAGTCCCAAACAAATGAACGCATTTTTGAAATCATATTTTTGTGAGTTATATTAAAGACTAATGACAGTCCGAGTGCCATATAGATGACCGGGAAGTCGGAAAATATTAAGAGACAAGCAAACAAATATTGGTTATGGTCTCATGCAGAGGTGTAAACCAACTAATTTCATTTACTGAAGTACAATTTTGATATACTTGAGTATTTCCATGTTATGCTACTCTGTACTTCTACTCTGCTAAATGGTGTTCTTTTACTCCACTACATTTATTGAATACCTTTAGTTACTTTACAGATTTGGATTAATGATATGAAATATAATCAAGTATTAAACCAGACTTTAGTTCCACCTGGAGTAAATTCACAAGCTACCCTGCAGTATACAAAGTCATTCAAACTAGCTGCACCTTTACCAGCTTTGATAACACTTAAATGATCAATCATTATAAAACATATCATATATATTATTCTGAAATGGGCCAATCAGCACAATGACTACTTTTACATTTTTTACTTTAAGTATATTTTGATGCCTATGCTTTTGTACTTTTACTTGAGTAACATTTTGATTCAAGTACAAGATCTGAGTACTTCTCCCATCTCTGGTCACTTGATGTGTTTTGTTCACAGTAACAAAATATAGAATACTGTAGTGCTTCTGAAGTTTATTAAGTAACTATCTTAACTTGTAAGGAAGTATTTAATTATTCACCTGAGGGTAACACATGAAAGGAGAATTAAGATATATCCACAACATTGTGACAACATGCTGACATAACTTCTCAAATCAGAAACGCGTGTTTTCCCAGATGTATTTGATCATTTGGCTTCGACGTTAAAAAGTAGCCATATATTCCCAGGGAATATTTTGTTTCACAAACAGGCTAAAAATGGATATCACACGTCGGGTACTTATTGAATATAAAGCAACCAACAGTATACAATAAGTGAATTTGGGGTTATTATGGAGAGAAGCGTAATTTGTTTTTCAAGACAAATATAAATTCAAACCGGAGGGCTGCAGGGACTGTGAGTTTGAGTCAGGAGTTTCTTTCTAAAGTTGTTGGGTCTATTTTAACAGATCAATCTATCATTTGCTGAATATAGTATTTTATAACAAAGTTATTGCATATTTCCAAAGCACGTAATGTGTGTTAAACGCTAGTTGTATAACATTGAAGCTCCTCCTGCAACTGTTACATGAGCAAATATAACAAAAGGCACTAATCTGAGCACATTTAACTTTTTATGTTACTTTTCTTGGATGAAATGCAGAATTGTATTGGAGCCAGTCACTGCAGCCAACATCATGACAGTGTGTGCAGCTCTATTTCCTAACACACAAACTGACCATCTGTTGACAGTCAGACTTGTACCAGAATAAAGTCAAGTCTTCTGAGTACTGAGAGTTTATAGAGAGTGAATTTAGGTTTTTAAGTGAAGGTCTTTTTAGCTGGAAGTGTTGCAGCTTGTTAAATAAACAGTCCATCTGTTGGAGATGGGAGTGCTCCATCTCCAAATTTACAGAGAATCTGTTTCCATTTTTTAAAATGCACAATCCCTTTGAGGAAGTACAACTGAATTCCATTGTCTGAGATTCATTTCAAGCTACATTTCTTCATAAAGACTGCCTTTAATGTCCTAAAGCAAGTAACAATGTTTTTAATAAATCTTCAGTTCTTTGGGCCCTTTTATATTTTTTTGATGTGTGCCCTCTGATGATGAGTTCTCTTTCAAAGGAATAACAGCATCAATATAATCTGATCTTAGACTCCCAAGCTATGGGAAGTAGCTCCATCTTATTATTCTGATCTGTATTGATATGGTAATGTCTCGTGCAGACTATGGAGAACCGGCGTGAGGAGGCTCGGTCCTACAGCAACTTGGGCAGCGCCTACCACTCTCAGCGTGACTTCGACAAGGCCATTTCATACCACACACGCGTGCTAGAGCTGGCACAGGAGCTGGGCGACAGAGCCATCGAGATGAGGGCGTTTGCTGGTCTGGGGCACGCTGCCAGGTGCATGCAGGTTGGTATAGAACTGTTTAAATACAGGGCTAACTGAATAATTAAACAACACAGGGGTACTCTGATATACAGTATGTCTGTGGTATATGTTTATAATGCACTAATAAACATTAATAATAGTTATTCTTATGATCTTTAGGACTTAGAGAGAGCTCGTCAGCACCACCAACACCAGCTGGAAATCGCACAGGAGCTGCAGGACAGAGCCGCACAGGGCAGAGCGTCATCTAACCTGGGTAAGAACGCCAAATGAACGCCTAACCAATAGGCAGGTCATTGTAGAACCCACCAATTGAATGGTGAATTTAAGCTACCTCTCAGGGGTGTATATGTGTGTAAATCTGGCTGATACTAGCCAGTGCCTCCCCATCCACTGACCTTCCCGCATGTCATTGCTGCTAACAGACCAGCCAGATGAGAACATTTAGCCTGTATTACTATCACAAAACGTCTACAAGCTTCCTTATAATTTCTCTGTACATGACAGTTTGCTTCCTCCTTACATTTTGTTTGCAAACCATCCCTCTTATGAAGAACAATTTATGCTCAAATAGAGGAGGTTAAATGAAAGTCAATGCGACGCAGCTAATACGTTATACTAAGCTGTTTTCCAACATGTTGCAGCCCTAATTGTGAGAGCATGACAGGTGAAAGATTGATCACATTGTAAGTTTGATTCCCAGTCATAAATCAGAGTCGCATGTCTCTATGACTGGAATGAAAAAAGAGCATTTGGACATTAGTAATATTGCTCTCATGCGTCATTCAATCAAGAATAACTGACATCTCATAAAAACACGATATTTAATACCTGACCCCATTTAGCCAACTACTAAAACTAATGGTAGGACTATACACAAGAAGTGGTTAAAGGGACATTTTAAGCTGGTAATTCATCTTTTGTTTGTGATACAGCAACTCAAATATTTGAAAGAATTAAGAGAAAACGAATAATGATGAGGAGAAGTGAGGCTTACTCTCATCTAGCTGCACGCTCACCCCAGAGGATTCAGAGTTGACAACAAGTGGGAGGAGGGTTGGTGTTTTATGTTTTCTTTTATATATTGTGTAGGAGTAAAAACAAGTTGCATCCGCTGTATAAAAGAATGAAGGATTTGAGAGTGTACTACAATACACTGGCTCTAAATTGCTGGTTCATATTCAGTTCAAACACTATCTGAGCCGACAGTATACTGTGTCGTTGGGTACATTTGATAAAAATACAGTATGATGAGTTCAAATATCCACACACACTATAGTCACTGTAATGAACCCTTCAAAAGAAATGTTTATGCATAAAAAGTTTATTAGATTATATATATTGCTGAAAAGATGGAAGTAACTTATTTCGTTGCACAACAATATACTATTTTTGTTGTTTGATTTGAAATACATTGTTATGCAGACAAAACTTTCCTTAGTATTTTGATGCAAACCAATAAACATAGTCAGAGAAAAAGGAATTAATTAAATGACTTATACCATTGAGAACTATTATTATATATTGCTACAGTAGGAAGAGCTGAACAAATGTAATGCAATCACAAGCTATTCCATGCCATATATTGCCATCTATGTTTCCTTCACACTTAGGCTGATATGATTGTGAAAGTGATACAAAATTATATTTTCTGGGTTATTAAAAGTTATACATTTCACTTGATGAACTCTGCAGACAGAAACTAAAAGAAAGAAACTTAATTTGATTTTAAATTAATCATTTTTAACAGTGCTACTCGCAATTTGTGGAATGGAAAGCAGAATAACCAATTTCATCACACCAGTTATTTGTTATTTATTATAAATATTAATGTCTAATGTTTTTAAATGTCAAGAGATATTAACTTCTTCATTGTGTCCTCCTGTCTGTATGAAACCAAACATTATGCCCTTTGGAAACTAAAAAGTAAATCAAGGATGACTTTTATATATTCTGCATGAATTTCATTTTCAAAAAGTGGATGATGTGATGCAATTTTAGATAAGAGGTGAAACACTCTCCAGTTTGCAGATGCAGAAGTGTTATTATTGCAGCTGATGGAAAAAGCTCCTGCATCACATGAACTGTTAACCATTGAGCCGCCTGTCACTGTGTCGCCACGGCAACTCAATAGACTGACTGGACCTGATCAACTCTATCAGCATTGATCAGCTTTCAGACAAACGACTCTATCTGTTACATAAAGCACTAAGTACATTTACCCAAGTACTGCATTTAACTACAATTGTGGGTACTTGTACTTTTCCATTTAACGCTACTTTGTACTTCTACTGAACAATATTTAAAATGTATTGAACTGTTTTACTCCTATACATCAATTTGACTACTTTAGTTACATTTCAGATAAAGATTATTAATACATAAATTAACCGATACATTATAACTTTTATTTAATTTGTATTATTTAAGATCAATCTACCCAGCAGTATTCAAAGCCATAAAATCAGCTCCAACTTTAGCAGCTGCAACACGAAAATTGGAAACACATTATTGCATTTATAATTATAACTTATGTTATATACTGTATATTCTTCTTGAGTACTTTTAGTATATTTTGATGCTCATACTTTTCTCTTTTTAGAGATTTTAGTCACTTTAAACAAAATCCAGAAGAAGGGCAATACTTTTGGCATACAATTTAATGCATTACCCAAGTACACGAATGAGATACATGAGGTACTTTCCTTAGGTATTTCCATGTTATGCTAATGTGTACTTCTACTCCATTACATATCCGAGGCAAACACTTTTTACTTGACTACATTTTTCTGAGAGATGAGGTCACTTTGTAGATTTAAATTGTATGTGAAAAGCATATTATGAACTTATAAAACAAGATAACATTTTGTGAAGTTAATCATATTCTGTTTATAAAATGTATTAAATTGCAAAAATATATCAAATTGTTTAAATCAACAGTAAAGTATTGATAACGAATGAATGAATGAATCAGTAATAATAATCTAATAATAGCAGATACTGCATGGTAAAACAGTCACAGTGGTCATCTTCCAGGTTTATGGGTACTTTTACTCAACTTTTATTAAGCAAGGCAAGTCATATTTTCAATTACAGACTTTTACGGTGTGTTATAAGTACTTTTACCCAACTAAAGGATCTGAATACTTCTTCCATCCCTGGCCGTAGACCATGTGTAACTCCCCTGCTCATCTGCCTTCTTAGGCCGTATCACATGACCATAATAGTGCTTCTCTGGCCAATCAACGCTCATGTTTTATTAAACGGGTTCTGGTTTCTGCGACCACAGTGATATCTGAGCCAGTGAACNACATCTTCCATTTCTTTTCACACAATACGTCTCCTTGCAGTATTAACCTTAATTCGGGTAGATAGGTTATATTTACACCATAACGGTGCACAGCTGATAGAAAAGGACTTTTTAAAGATATTACTGATTTTCTTTGAATATAAGAATGTAAATACTGAGTCTGAAATAGTTTAGCAATATGCTGTAAAATTAT